CCCCTTTGAAACCTAGAGCCCCCCTCCCCACCCCTGCAAGCCGCACACGTAGCATTCTAAGGGCATAAAGCGTACTTATCGGCTTTTCCCCGAGCTCGTCCGAAGACCGACTAAACAGGAGCTGAACTGCTCAAAATACCCAAAACCAAAATCTCGAATGTCCATTAGCATACGACGAATCCACCTATACCGGGTTTTCTGTCATCAGGGGCGTATGGAGAGCTCTTTAAAGGGGGAAATAAAAGTTAAAATTAATATAGTATAACTTTACCTCTCAATATACCTTTTTTAACTAGTTACAAGACGTTAAAACATAAATACAATCAAATTAGGTGGTTTTTTGTTTAATATATTTGTATATCCATATTTTTATTATCATAATCAAACAAAAAAATTTTGATTTAATAAGAGTCCTTTACTTATAAAAACAACACTCTCGAATTGATATATTATTATTAGAAGCTATTTTAAAAAGTGTCATAAAGTATTTAAATAAAACAATACTACAAACATCTTTAACCCCACGATGGTTACGCCCCTGCTGGCCTGCAACTGCCCCCCGTTAACCCCCAAAAAGCCTTAACCCTCCCAGTTATCCTGGCCACGTCTGCAGCCTTTGGCTGGAAGTTTCTTTCGCTCCTTTTTGCCATCGAACCACTCAGCAACTTACCACCCACACAGATGGTTTTCCAGATGGGGGGATTGAGGCAAAGGTCTTCGGGTTGCCTCCGCATTTGGCCAGAATACACAGACACACACGGTCAGGGGAAAATCCACACCATCTGCCACACCTTACACCTAACCCAACAATCCAATTCCGAGGCAACAATATGCTCCGCAGCTTCGTTTTCCTTGGCAGCGAGGGGGGGGCGGGCGCTAAGGGGGGGTCATGGGGTCAGGGGTCATGGGAGGGGAAAAAAGGGGCCGCTGGTAAGCCGAAGGGGCAGCCATATTGCAATGTATGGCCAGGGCGCTTGGAGCACGCAGCCAGCGAATGTGGACGTGATGCTCGAACCTGAAAACCCCCCATCCCACAACCCCTCTATAAAACCCCCTTCAGAAGAAGCAACCCCTTCATCATTTCAAATTTAAATTTAACCTTTTGTCTTAATACGGCCAGGCGAACAACGAGCACGAGCTCCTGTCTTGGGCATCATAAAAACATCGTCAAGTCGATGGAATAAGACCGGAGTCCGGAGTCCGGACCGAAAAACCGGACCGAATAGAGACGTATGTATGTAGGTATGTGAGGTGGTGGGAGGGCCAGCTTAGACCCGTATTATTGGGGGAGGCAACTAATTTACGGATTTGCCACCCACACCCGACAAGCGACTTAAATGTCGGCGAAGAATACGGTTCAAAGCGCTTGGAAAGTGACCAGAAGGAGTTACGTTTGCAGGGATAATTATACAATATTCCATATTGTATTTGATGTATTTGTTTGAAGCATTTATTATCCAAGATGTGTACTAAAGGAACTAGATAGCTATCATCTTTAAAAATTTGATAATGTTCCATTATTATGCTCTATATTCCAATTTCTTCTTAAATGATATTTGATATAATACATTTATTATAATAATAATAATAGAATTTAGCATCTTAAGACACATATATTAAACTTACCAAATAAGCAAAAAAAACTTGTTGTCTTATAAGTGTACTATAGAAATTACATTATATCCATGGCGAAGTTATGCAGATAGAAACATTGTTCTTATCTAAATGGTATTTTATATAATACTTTTATTATTAGAACAATACAATGTATCATCTTTAAAATAGATTTACTGAATCAATAAATACCCTTTGTAGTAAATGATCTATTCATTTTTAATACCTACCTAAACTGTAATATGTTTTTTACCCGTGTAGTATAAACTTGAAGATGGTCAGCCGAATGAGAGGGATTAAAGTCGCCCCCCAAAGTTACCTCAATCAATGAAGTGGCAACAACGAAAAGGAGGATCCTGCGGAGGACTAAGAGGTGGATAAATAGGGGGTTTTTAGGGGGCGGCATGGGAGTGCTAAAGAGGCGCGGAGTGGGCGGTTCGGCAATGTCCAAAGGGAATGGCTAAGGGAAATGGCCAAAATTCAAAATGGCCACTTGAGGGGTGAGTGGAAAGCCAACGGCGAGTTCTCTTCTGTAGTGGACAACTTGTACAACACATACAAACAAAAAGGGGTAGGGGGTGGGAAATGGACGTAGGGGGTGGGGGTGGCCGAGAGGCAGCAGGAACGGAACGACTCCAGAGTTATCAACATAAAAGTCAATCTGTTGAGGGGGTTGAATGCGAACACAGTCCGCAAAAGGGCTAAGCAGCAGGGGCGGGGGTGGAAAAGGGGTGGCAGGGGGTGGAACGGGCGGACAAGGGGGTGTGCAGAACGTAGTGGGGCAGTCACAGTCGGTAAAGCCCCCCTTATTGACCCCTTTGTTGGAGCGCTAAAACGCAAAACCAAAACCACACAGAAAGAAAATGTAGCTTATTATGAACTGGACAGAATATGTTTATAATAAGAAATATTTATATAATTTGCCTACTTACATTGAAGAAAATCTAAATATTTAATATTATTAGACACATTTGGTCTCGCCAAAATTAACCTTATAGAAAATTTTTCATGGTGAAACCCATTCCTTAATAAAATGTTCATGTTTACTTGTTAACTAACTAACTAAGTCAACTTTAAATTTAATGTTGACAAAATTCAAGTAAGGTTCCAACCAACTTTTTATAAGTGAAAATCTAAAGATATAAGTTAAATTCAAGTCAAAGCTAAAATAAAGCAGTGAAAGCTAACACTTATTGATAATATGAAATAATAAAGCTATTATTAGACATCAGATTTGATCTAAAATCATTTTTTACGACCCGATTTTTTAGCTATCCCTGATTAATTACAAATTATTTTTACCAAACCTAAATTAGATTTTGTTAATCAATTTAAATTTATTAATAATAAATAAACAATTTATATTTAAAGTGCAGTAAAGTGATACAAAATATTTCTTGCTCTGCCCAAACTGGACTGGCTCGCTCGCTCTCTCTATCCATTTCTGACCCACCACCACCACCCCCTCGCAGGACTCGAAGGACATTGAGCGGGCTGGTCGTTAGTGCTGGTGGCCCCTTGATGGACGGCCCACGGAGCTGAGCTGAAGTGGCTGCCAGTTTTGTAGTTGTTCGTGGATTGAAATCGCACATATTTCACCTTGTCTGCCATCCCGCTCACACCCCCTTGGCCGGCCATCCTGGACAGGTCCTGAGTGTCCTGAATGTTCCGAATGTCCTGCGTGGCATTGCGTTTCGCTTCGTTTTCGAATGAAATCGAAAAGTCCACCCCTAATGGCCAGCAGCTAGCGACCAAAAAAGCTCGCGACTCCTGGACCCCGGACATCGAACGGACCTGAAGCGGCCATTTGCCATTCAACCCTATGCGGCCGGTGTCCTTGGAACGGGACAGCCCACACCCACCACCCCTTCTCACTCTGACATTTCTACAATTACATTTATAAATGCCGAGCTGCGATACCAAACAGTACGACATGGAAAAACACACTGGAAACAGGGAAGCGAAGACAATCAAGGGTCTCCAAGTTCTTGAAATTTCGATTGGGGGCTGTTCCACCCACATCACCCCTTCATCTAAAGGCTAATTTTTGCCATTGGAAGTCTATAAATTACCCATTACCAGGAGATCTTAAAGTTCCCAGTCCATCTTGGTCCTTAGATATGTACAAGAGAGTCTATCTTATAAAAAATAAGGTATCATAAAAAATTTTATAAAAATATAATATTTCATTTAAAAGCTTTGAAAATTGTTAAATATAATTAGAATAATTAACCACAAACACATAGCACTCTTGTGTACCTTATTATTAATAGGAAAGTTTTGAAAGATGTAAGAAAATCTACCATAATGACTTTTATAAAATAGCTATTAAAAATATTTTGGTTACAATTTGGGATCTGACCATAAGCTCTATGGAAAAAAAACGTTTAACGTCCTTATGTTCCTAATGATATTCATAATTAACACTGGTAAACCCCTAAAGCTCTTGAGACCTCATAAGTAAGGGCCCTATCTGCGATCTCTGTCGAGGTGATCGCAAAGGGATCAAAGGAGCGGGGAACAATGCGAATTGGCTAATTGATGGCACTTCGGCGGACCACTTGACTGAACGGGATCGGTGCGTCCGATCGAGGACCTCGAAAAGCGCAAATCCGATCGAGGAGCACCGATAGCGATGGGTGTCGGCCGATAATTGCAGCTCGTCGAGCGATAACGCGACCATCCGATCTTCGCGGCAGTCGATCGGCATGTGAATATGCGGCCGGATGACTCGCGGATTTGCCTATCCCGCATTTTGCGAAGGGTTAACTAGGCACTTCCCTAACCCAAAAAACGGGGTTGGTTCCGTACTCCCCTCGCAGTTTTTTACCTGGACGTAATGGGAATGGGAATGTGAATAAGAATGGATATGGGACATGCTATTGGGACATCTTCGGATCGCGTAACCCTTTCGGGTAAATCGCGTTAATCCCGCGCCAGGTAAAGGGAAATTATCATTTTTCATTCCGGCCTGACATCTGGCTTCCTCGCGGGTTAAGGGATAGCCAGCGTTAAGATCGGCATCCTGAAGTGCCCACAAAGGAAGGAAGTGCAAAGGGGAGAAATGTCAGCGCAAGGACTCGCCGAAAAGCCGTATAAAAAACGAGAAGAGGAAGTGGAAATGTCACACGGTCAGAAACTCTGACTTATTCAACTCGCCTAATTGAAATCACTCGTCCTTTGTTTTTCTCCTCAACAATGAGTTTCGACCTGTCACATGTCAACGTTGGCAAACAAATAAACGTAAACCGAACAATAAACCACTCAGGGCCTACTCCACAATCAAATCGTAGATGGTACATATACACAAAAATTAAATAAAAAAACACATCAAATAGTAGTCCTTGAATTAAGCTAATGCTTCAGTCAGTCTGATTTGTTTGGAAGCCAAATTCAGAGCTGCTAAAGCCAGGAAAAAGTTCAGTAGCAATTTTCTACAACCCCATTTTATAGAAAATAAACAAAATTTCTAGTTAACAAAATTTTAGAAAAAGTAAGATTGGATTTTCTTTCTGGTAAATATGTCGAAGGCAACAAAACTGCGCTTTGCGCTGATCACCGAGGATGTTCTGAACAAGCTGCGACCCCGATCTCAGTCGGAAAGTGCCCGTTCTAAGTACATGAACGAGATATATATGGTCATTAGGACGGCGGTCAACGAGGCTGTGGACGAGAAGTTGCAGCAGTTGAGCACGATCATTAGTCAGATGGTCGAGGAGAGGGTTCTTAAGATTCTGGAGCAGCAGGGCTTCGGCAGGTCCATGGCGGGGGCAGTGGCTCAGCCGGAAGAAAAAGCGATCATAAAGATCCATCCCAGGAGAAGGAATCAGCCAAGGGGGCAGGCGAGTGCTCCAGTGCCTTGAAGTTGGGCAATCTCAAACGTCGTCGACCCAAGAATAATAATCCTTCTAAAGAAGGACATGTGACCTTCGCCCCAGAGGAACAGTTAGCCAAGAAACCCCGGACCAAGGCCCAGAAAATCACCGTAATGCCCATCCATCGGGAGAACCAGGTGAAGAGCTCTCCCTCGACCGGCAATAATGCACCTTTGCTGCCAACTCCGCCACCACTCCACATGGATCACAATGCCCTGGATGCTGAGGATGACGATGATGACAACTTCTCGGATGTGGAAGAACCCTCCATTCTCACCATCGCCGCCAAATATCTCAAGAAACTCGAGGATGCCCGCCGTCGCAAGCAGCAGCAGCAGCATTAACTTTTCGACCTTACCCCAGAAATTGTTGGTCTAGAAAAATGGGAAGCCATCTCTATGGTAGTTTTCAAATTGCTTCAAGACCCCCAATTTCCGGGAATACCAGTCCTTCGTATTTCCTTAACTTTTGAGATAAATTTCCAAAGAGTGCATATACTATATAGAACATTTTCGTGGAAGCCATCGACTAATGGAGTGGGTAAAAAATGTTAATAAATTGAGCCAGAGTCAAGTGATTTTATACGGTCTAAATCCAATATTTGAGATGTACAAACCAAATGTAAATTTATTGGGATTATCATGTAGTCGCTAAATTTTTAAATATAAATTTTATTTAAAATGAAATGTATTCTGAATGTTTTAATGTTAAATTAAATGATTTCTATAATGGTTTAAATATAACAACATTGCAAAAGCAATACCTTTTATCGGGTGTAATGTCTTGTAAAATGAACTTTCCATTCCGGTAAATTTAAAATTAATCAAATAGATAAAACAATATGCATTTATTATCTAAAATACGGAGGAAAACAAGGTGGAAACCATAAAAAAAGGCCTCTTCAAAGTCGATCCTATTGGCTTAACCCCCGGCAAACCAATTTCCATTTATGCTAGTTTCCATATCCATCGCAACAACATCCGCTCTATCCCCTTGGCAAAAAAAAACCCACCGTTGAAGTCGTCTAATCCATGAAATATGTAAAGTGAAAAATTGAATCGCAAGCAATTGTAAAAATCAGCCTGGTTACATTCTCAGAGGGTAATGGGGGGGTTAAAGGGGGTGGTGGGTGGACAGCGGCTGCGTGGGGTTAAGAGTCGCATAGTCTTTGCCGCTTATCAACGAACTGCAGACAAGGCCAGAGCATCAATCAAGAGTTTCCAATGAATGGCTATCGACTGAATTAGACGACCAGCTAGAATATTCCCAGTCCCCATTTGCCAATCTCCTTTTACACGGAGAGAAAATACCATAGACTCTTGCTTAAAAATAAATCTGTATTGTTTATAAGTAAGATTAGATGGGAGTCATTTAAACAAATTTAAAATATTTTAGTTAATATGCTTAGGTAATATCTATCAATTTTTGAATATATTCGTATTTGTTATAAAGTATTTTTTAACCCTTGAAAAATTGAACACTATATTTATATAGTCTGCCCAATTTTTGTAAGTGTTTCTCCAGCACTTTTTGCGTCTTTTGCAAATTCTGGACCACCACCCAAAAAAAAAAGATGGAAGTGGAAAGGACAGGCAATATTTTTGCGGCTTAATATGTGTTAAAAAAAATGGAAATAAATAAATGCGAACCGCTGGCGAAAAAAATGTTTTCCTCCAGGATGGCCGGGTGGGTCGGCCAGGGGGAGGTGGTGGGTGGTTAGTGGGTGTGGCTGGCTTATCGCTATCCTTGTAGCCAGTGACAGGACATAACATAACCCCTGGTATCTCCAGTGAGCCATGCGTGGGCGCCTTTTTCTCTTTTCCTCGCCGTTTTTTTTTTATATTTCTCTCATGTGTGTGTGTGTGGTCACCCCGAAGAGGTCAAAGGGGGCGGTAGCAGGGGGTTTCCCCAGAAACCCCAGCAAACGAAAAGGGGTAAAAATTGCTGACTAAGTACTTTGGAAAATTGCTTACATGTCTGCTATCTTCTGGCCGCTGCCCGCCTTCGTTTAGCGCTAATACATTGTCATTTATGTATAATACTGGGCATTGGATGGGGTTTCCTTTCCCATGGAGGGTAATACCGTTGCCCAATCCATTTGCCAGGCCAGCGGACAAGTGTTGGGTGCCATGTTTATGTTTTCTCGTTGTCTATCATTTGAGAGAAAAACCCCCGTGTCCCCCCAGCCAAGCGAAAAAATTCCTTTTGAAGCCAAGTTCGCGTTTCAATTTTTTTTTTTGCTTCTTGTCGGTAATATAAAATCCACAAACGCGACGAGAACTTCACATATGACAACAGGGGACAATCGAAGGATGAGCTGGCGATGCGGCAAGGGAGGTGGTAAGGACGAAGGACGAAGGACGAGTTGGCCAAAGACACACGCCGCTGCTCTGGATGTTTGTGATTTCTGAAGCGGAAAATCAAAGTTAAGACCTGTTTATACGGCAAAAAGGAATTGGAAAATAAACTACTCTGGAAAATTTTAAAATATATTTTACATATAAATAACATAGAATATTTTGTAGCATTAATTATATTGTGTTTTAAAAATCTGTACAAATTACTTTTTAAATAAAATTGTACACAGACATCTATTATTTTATTTGTAGTTATTATTATGAAATGGGTTTTAGGCACCTAATTGGTATATAAAAATGAAGATGATATCTAAGAAAAGATATACCTTGAAAATAACCATACATTCCAAACTCTATAAATGTTTTTAAAATAGTGAAAATGTAACTCTTGGATTTTTTATAATAATATATTTAAATATATTAAAGCAGAAATAAAAGTTATTTTGGATAAAGTATTTTCCACATACAAATTATATTTTAAGTAATTATTTAAGATCCATTTCTTATAAAGTAAAGACTTGTGTAAACGGGACTTAAGGCGCGACAGGACGAAACCGTGCGCCGTTTTCTTAGTATGTGTGCTTCCGCTCCCCTTTCGTTTTCGCGTGTGTTTGTGAGCGTTCGTTCGAGTTTCAGAAAATTGCATTTTTTCATATCATTAGGTTTTATTGGTTTCTTCCTGTTAAATATTCCCAGCTCCCCGCCAACCACTTGCCACGCTCCATGGTCCCAGGACCCAGGTCCATGGTCCTTGGTGTCCTGCTCCTTTTGTCTTGCCCCGTTGTCAAAACAACAACACGGCCACACGCTCCAAAAAACAACCTGAACATCACACATGACTATATATATATATATAGATATGTATGTGTATATAATGTGTGTGGGTATATATTGTACTATATATATATATACTGATACACATGAGGCACGCATCATATCATTCGGAAACGACGGCACCGCGAGTCCTGCTCCATTTTCCCTGCCCACCCCATCCTGAATATCCTTTTATTTCTGCTCCTGCGAGGCGACAAATGCAAGTTGGCGATTTCCCAGGGAGCCTTTGTTGTTGCGCCACCAGCCCAATTGGGGTTCCAAAGCACATCCTTAAGCACATCGTCCACCTGCGAAAAACAATGATTGGGAGAACAAATCGATTGGACAGACCCTGTTGCAATTAAGGCCCTCCAACCGAGCGCAAAAAAGGGTACGAATTTGGGGGATTACTTAGTCACCGAGGCATATACTATTTTGAAAATTTCCCATCTTCCTAAATCCACATTTTAATGTGCTTGGCACTCTATAATATTATTATATTATTATACTATTATTTATATTGCCTTTCCTCTTCTTTAAAATACCTCATGTATTTATGTTCATTGGTTCGCATTGTATTTAAAAAGATATTTTCAATGCCAACTTAGAATTGTATCTTTGTTTTGATTGATTTATTTGAAAGGTACATTAAAAACCCCAACTAATATCAATCTCTTAAATCATTTAAATATATTATAAACAACACCTAATATTAAATAAAATTTTAAGTTATCTATTAAAATGTTCTATAAATATCATAATTGAAATACGTATAATACATTTATGGCTATATCGATTCCTTAGCTGACTTCTTCCAATATTTACCAATAATTTTTCAAACCCTCCTTGAAGAATTTACAATTGCAGATGTGTCCTGTCAGTTCATCGCATTCGGAGTTGCTCAACTCCACTCCATTGACCAACTTAAGCCACAGACTGCGCAAAATATTTGTCCAGGCAAACACATTATGGCTGGCACGTAAAAGAAAAAAATCAGATTTCCATCCACCACGGCCCAATGCCTATGTAAATAAAGGTGGTTACATAGTGTACGAGGACACACGCACACATCGACCACGTGATACATATGGGTCCCACATCAAATGTCCTGGCCACAAGAACAACAATGCCATGGGCCGTGGCAGCCCACCTGCGTAAATCAGGATCTGCAGGACCTCTGATTGACTGCCTGACACATGGGTGGGTGTAAGAGGGGGTGGGAGATAGAAAGGGGGGCTTGGAGGGGAGGTCCTTGAAAGGATAACTGGTCAAGAGGCAAGGCGACCCAGCAGGCAAATAGAGAAGCTCCTGTGTCAGCGCAATATGCCACTAAGCCAGCGAATCAGCAAAACCACCTGCAGTGGGTGTCTCTCGGTTTGCACTGCACAAAATACTTTGTACTTTAAAATTACAAAATTAAAAAAAAAATCATAAATTTCCAAGTTTAAAAGTTTATAAAATGGATTGAAATCATAAATATCAAAAACACTTCTCAGTTTTAGATCGAACGAAAAATAAACCAGTCAACCTGAATTTAGATTAAAGAGATTAGAGTCAATTATAATAAATAAATTTATACATTTTTAGAATTGCAGGACTACAGGATTTTTAAAAAAGTATTTTTTAAAAATTTGATTGGGGAACAACTTTACCAAAATTAATCAAAGTGAAGCAAAATTAAATAAAATACCTCTATCTTAAAAAAAAAACATTGTGGGTATCTTAAAATGTTTTTTTGTTAATGGTATACGCCAAGAAAAATTAAAGCCTAATTTTAAAAAATGTATCAGAAATCTTTAACGTTTTAGGGAAAACTAAGTATTATTGTTATGAAAAATTTGATTTACATTTTCTAAGGGCTGTCTTGGTATAAAAACTTGATACCCATCTCAGGTGATATTTTCCAGCGGAGTGTCCTTAATGCTGGGGTCCTTTTTGGACCCCCCCTTCACATGTGCGTGTGTGGGTGTGTGCTGGCAGTTGTGTGGGTGTGTGCTCCTTGTTGATGATGCGCTTGGGTGGACGCCGCCCAGCGGAAGAGGAAATGAAAAAAATGAAAGAGAGAAACAGGACGAACTGTCCGTGTGGCGTTCCGTCGTCCTTGCCGATTCCGCCCGGTTGGATTGCAAAATTTTGAATTGGATACCGCTGGCACTCCCACTCCCACTCCCCTTCCCGCTCCCCCCTCCCACCGCGCATTTCGCCATTTCCATCCCTTTCAACGGACCTCAGTCGTCTGTCGTCCTGACCAAAAGGCAGGTCCTGCGTCTGCGTGTGTGTGTGTGAGTGTGCCTTGTATTTGAAATTTTGCATATTAAAATATTGTCGTGCATGCAAAGGTCGCTCCTTCGAAAGGGAAAAAGGAATACGGAAAAAGGAAAAAGGTGCCCGGCGCCGTGCGTCGCTGCTTGTTTCTTCAGCGAACTGTGGTTAAAGTTCTGGGTTTTTTAAGGTTCTATTTTAATAGGAATTTAT